GTTGTCCTGTGTGATTCTTGTCCATATTTTATTGTATAACTTGCACAGGATTTATCAAGTATGTGGGAATCCTTCCTTTCTTTTCTTCTTTCTCTATATTGGGGTCCCAATGTACCACTCAAACTGCCTACTTAGTTTCCTTTATTTGTGATACATGACTAGCCCACTGCCTTTCTAGGCAACTAAATTCTTGGTAATGCCCTTTATATCACTTCTTAAGTGTAAATCACTGTTGGCAACAAAGAGATGAGCTTTTGTAGGAGTGGGCAGTTTGGGATCTTTGAAAGTACAGCACAATTTCACATGTGCAGCCCAACTCACATTCTTCCTCTTGCTCAAATCTATACCCTAAGACACACTCAAAGATACTGAATGTTTGTAAGCAGTGGAGTTTATGTGATATCTATTTACTTACATGTGTGCACTGGCAAGCCTAATCTGGAATGGCATTTAGAAAAGATTAAGAAAGTTACCAGGGGAAGCTGCTGTAATAATCTAGGTAAAAGGGAGGGAGGAGAGAGACTGCTAAAAGTCTCCTGGATCTGGAATTATAGGACTGTAAATTCAGAACTGGAAGGGATCTCAGAGGTCATCAAATCCAATCCCCTCATTTTATAGCTGAGGAAACTGAAATCCAGAAAGCTTAAGTCACCTGACCAAGGTCACACAGAGTAACAATTATCCGAGGTCAGATTTGAGCTCAGGTCTTCTCATCCTAAAGCCAGTGTGCTCTTTTTACTATAATGGTGGGGCTTGAACTGATTTACCTCTCTGCCAAGCCCAACCTCCTAGATCTCAATTAAAAATAGATCTTGTTAATCAAATGAGGAAACTAATGTCTTTAAATTTATGCTCACCTAGCTTGTGAATTATCTAAATCCCTATTTTAGAGACACAGGCCCAGTTCTTAAGAAATTAAAAACAAACAGACAAATATCCCTGTTAATTCATCAATCTCTTTAAAAGATTATGGACAAAATACAGAGAAAAACTAAAAAGAAAACCAAAATGAGACATTCCTCTTTTTTTTCTTTTCTCTGAAAGGAAAAAAAAAAACTACAGGTAAGCAACACTTTAGAATTACTTGTAAACAATGGTGTCAACTGGGGCCTACTGGTCTTTTAGATGATTTTTGTATGCCTGCAAAGTTTTCTTTACATGACATATCTAAAGAGCATTGCAAACTTTAAATAGTTATATAAACTACCTTTGCTGCTGCTGCTACCATCAGCTATTCTCATCTGATGGAATTACTTTTGATGTAAACTTTAAAAAATTGATTTCTTTTATTCTTACAACACCATTATTTCCAAAGATGTTCCTTCCCCATTTCTTTTAATGAAAAAGGATAAAAAAAGATAAAAAGCAGTTTATCAAAATCAATACATTAACCAAGTCTCAAAGGATATGTAGTAGTACACACACTCATAGTTCTCCTACTTCTACCAAGACTGAATGAAGAAAGGTGAGTTTTTTCTCAGTTCTTTCTTTAGGACCAAGCTTGGTCATTATACTTACACAGCATTTGGTTTTATTCATTCTTTCTATTTACAGTTTCCCTGGTTCTGCTTATTTCATATTAAATAAGTTCATTTAAGTCTTCCTGTGTTTCTTTGTACTTTTCATACCCAATATTTCTTATGGCACAGTGATATTCATCCCATTACACTCATGGAACCACCATTTACTAATTAGTTATTCCCCAATTCAAGGGAATGCATTAGGTTTCCAATTCTCTTTTGCCAAAAAGAGAAAAAAAAATACTGCCATAAATATTTTGGCTTACATGAGATCATTCATTCTTTATCTTTGAATTCCACTAGGTAGTCACCTAACAATAGGATCTCTGAGTCAAAGGTATGGACATTGTAGTCACTTTCTTAGCATGATTCCAAACTATTTCCCAGAGTAGCTGGACCAGTTCATGGCTTGACTACTGTATCAATGTGTCCATCTTTCCATAGCTCATGCAACATTAATTATTCCCTTATTTTTTCACCTTTGCCAACTTTCTGGGTGTAGGGCAAAATCTCAGTTGTTTTGATTGCATTTCTCTTATAAGTGCTTCATAACAATCTTTCATGATATAAACTTTTAACAAGCAAATAAATCACTTTGTCTCTACTTCAAAGACAAGAAAATAACATTCCTTAATTTTAAAAAATGGTTTTATCAAATGAAACGCTCAAAGTATTATCAAGTAAGTTCTTGTTTAGAAACAGAAGAGCTTTTTTAATTGCATATATATTTCTTGTATGAGGCATATACTTACTTTTTCTAACCCAAAATACCAGACTACCAATGCCACTGCTATAATCAAACAATAGGAAAACAATGAATTATAGATTTTCAACTAGAGATTTAGAGTTGGAATGAACGAGGCCCCTGAGTCCATCTCCTTCTCTCTCTCATTTTTATAGATAAGTAAACTGAAGCTGATGTATTTTATGAATAAGTAGAATAAAATGGGCATATATGTTATTACTCAGGGTAAGGTTAAAGTGGGCCTAACCAGTGTGGTATTTAAAAAAAAAAAATCTGACAGGTATGAAAACTAGCGGTACCATAATGACTCTGAGATACTTCTTCTGAATCACCAGAAGATTAAGTTATATTTAGTTAGGAGCAAAATATGTTTTATTAAATTTTAAATTGGCTATTTCATGAATAGTATCTAACTTAAGTTCTTATTTTTTCTAGCTCTATTTTATCTTTTTAAAAAAAATAAGAGATTTTCTTTTTTTTTTTTTTGTTATTGTTTTTATGTTGCCTAGATTTCTTCTGGATATCCTTTCCAGAGCCATCCCTTTTAAGGATTTCTTTCAAAAAGAAGAGAAAAAAAATCAGGAAAATTAAAAACACACTGAAAAAAAATAAATTGACATCTTTATGCAATGTACCATAGGCATGGACCTCCCATCTCTGCAAGGAATTCAGGAGGAGCTATCTTTTGCTATCTCTGGTTTGTGACCAAGCTTATTCTTTATACTTTTGCAACATCCAGTTTCACGTTATTGTAATGACTGATGTATATAGTGTTTTCCTGGCTCTGCTTGGTTATATTTGTATTAATCAGAATATTTTATTATCTAGATTCCTCATTCCCTAACCAAGTAGGATAAGAAAACATTCTTTATGTGATTTTGAGTTATTTGATCAACACAAGAGGATTAGCTCTGTTATGTAATCAAAATTACTTATTTTTCGAGCTAAAGTTTTGCTTCACTTACTACAGCATTTATCAGGGTAAATAAAAACAAACTACGTGTGTGTGTGTGTGTGTGTGTGTGTGTACACCCACAAAACAGTTCAAAGATTTTAAATAAAGGGTAAATGTGTCACAAATTTGTAGAATCATATTCGCGTTCACCACACACCAAATTATTGTTTCATATAAACTCAGTGAAAAAATTAAATAAACTAAAAAAAACCAAAAAAACAAAACACCTAATCACATTAATTATACCTACAGTATCCTTCCAAAGCACTATTTCTACACATGTCCACCTTAAAGTCAATAATTCCATTTTTAGCAGTCACCTTGTTTGAATATAACAAATCACTATATGTAGCAATTGAGAATGCTATGCATAGCTCATTAAAATTTTTTCTTTTGGATATGGATGCCTACAGAATCCCACTCTTTTAAACTTTTCTATGTGACATTTCATTTGAGAAAACCAAGTCCTAAGACAGGGGATGAGGAATTGTAGGCTGATTCTCCCTTGTCCTATACTACACCAAAGAATTATACTACTGAGATACTAACAGTCTCCTGACCATGTTTCAAGGGCTGTACAATGCCAGAAAATAAACATTTGGTTATGCTGGTGAGGGTAGAGTAAAATTTCAAATTCTTTTCTTTCACTTCTGCTGCAAAGAAAACGGAGCAAAGTTTCATGGTTGACTTAGGTTTTCTTGATTTGAGTCCATCAAAATAAACCCAAGTCCCTGTCATTAATGATGCATACGACTATAATAGTAATTGTGCTGTAGTTGACAGCTTGTTTAATAAATGGCGATAGCTAAGTAGAAACATTTTTTTTTCCTCTTCTATTTCAAGAGAACCTTGATTTTGAACACAAAAATTACAAAGAACTAGGATCTGCTCTGGGAAAGAAAAGTCTCAACAATCTAAAAAAAAAAATCTCTCTTTAACTTCCCAGAAAACTCTTACTTGAATATACTGAGGTGATATACTTACATAAATGCTATGACATTTTTTGTTGCTGATTAAAAATGTAGAACTATATGTACTTTAAATAAATACCTGAAGCTACAATTCAGGTATGGTGTTACCCAGTGATGGTTACCAGTTTGCCACAGCCACTATGATCATCCTGAAAAGCACGTTTTTACACTTTTCAATATACCTCTCTGCTAAAATGGCTAACTTGAGTATTTTTAAAAGTAATATTTTAGAGAAACTTAAAAACCCAAATTGCCCAAGGAACAATTTACTACTGTTTCTCATCTATCATAATGCATCCTTTATCCACACATCCTGAATATTAGCTTCAAATCAGAAGTTGGTGGCCTGTCTTGAACCTTGAGGCAAGCTCAGGGTGCCAAGAATGCCTGGCTAGCTATTTATCTTTTAATAGCAGTTACGACATTTCTTTTTTAACCAGAGGTGATTTAATTCAGAATAGAACAGTCCAATTAAGTAAAGAGGTGGCTTCGGTTGCCTTTTCAACCTTTCTATTCTCAGAGAACTCAGGTTATATAAAAGCTAAGCCTTCAGAAACCAGATACTCTGAGATTCTGATAAGAAACTGTCATTCTATTTTTTTAAAATGACCAATAATTTTAAATATATAATAAATGATACAACTGGAAGAAAGAACTAGCACATTCATATCCGATGGCTGGCACGGTCAGCAGCAAACACTTATGGAGAACACCAGAGTTTTGAATGATAAATATTATATTTCACATGAAAAGAAACAAAAACATTCACTGCAGACAACATTTGATGCCAGTGGGAAAATCCTTCTTACCTGTAAATCAATTTTGCTGTCAATACAACGTTCATTCTTTTCTGCTGAAATCTTCTCATAGTTTTCTGATTTGGTAAGATTTTCGACTCTGGTTGCATCTTTCATTTCTGCCTCCAAACCCTTCATTGTATCAGTTCCATCTTTTACAGTAACAGTATCAGACATCCTCATTAGAGAAGGTTATTTTAGAATTCTACAGGAAACTTGAAGCCTTTGAAGGAGGAAGGAATACACAATTTTTTTTTTCATTCCTTAAGGTGGAAATAGTTCTCCAATTTAAACAGTATCAGAATATCATATGTATAGCATATACATATGGAATAGCATATTAATAGCATATAGAATAACATATGTATAGCATATACATATAGAATAGCATATTAATCAGGAACTATTTGTCTCTAAAAAGATATTAGAATAATTCGTGCCTAGAATAAATAATTTTCTCCCATTCTAGTTTTCATGAAGATTTTTGTGATTTGGAATTTCCTTCATTATTTTTTATTTCCCTTTCAGCAATTTTATCTGAGGGAAAACTACTGAAAGACAAGGCTGCACAGCAGCTAGGTGGCACAGTGGACAGAGTACTGGCCCTGGAGTCAGGAGGACCTGAGTTCAAACCCAGTTTCAGACCAGACACTTGACATTTACTACCTGTGTGACCTTGGGCAAGTCACTTAATCTCAATTGCCTTGCCAAAAAAAAAAGAAAAGAAAAAAAAAGGCAAGGCTACAACACTCCACATTGAAAAAAAAACAAAAACAAATCAAAACTCTAGAAGGGAATAAAGCAGCAAAATAGCAGCCCTCTAACTCTTCCCTACAGTTCTGAAAATTCTGGAGTGGCTATCAAATGGTGGTTGTTCAGCCATTTTAGTCATGTTTGACTCTGTGTGACCCCATGTGGGGTTTTCTTGGCAAAGATACTGGAGTAGTTTTGCCTTTTCCTTCTCCAGCTCATTTTACAGATGAAGAACTGAGGTAAATGGGGTTAAGTGACTTGTCCAGGGTCACACAGCTAGTAAGTGTATGAGGCCACCTTTGAACTCAGGAAGATGAGTCTTCCTGACTTCAGGCCTGACACTTCATTCACTGTGCCACCTGCTGCCCTTATCAAATGGCATTCCAATTTAATTCAACAAACCCTTATAGCAAGCACCTCAGATATGTAGAGCACAGTGCTAGGCCTTGGGATGGAGACGGAGTTTCTAGCTAAGACACAGTCACTGCCTTCATGGAGCTTACAGTCCAATATGGGGAGATAACAAACACAAATAAGTATTATGCATAATTATGCATAAGTGGAGAAGGAGAAGCAAAGTACTGTTTGAGTTCTGACAAGGAAAAGGCAATTACCGATAAGGGTAAGAAGTAGGGAAAGCAGGAAAGGCTTCATGGAGGAAATAACATTTGAGTCAGGTTTCAAAAGAATGAATAGTAGGAATTCAACATGTAGAGGATGGGAGTAAGATATTCTATTTGTTTGGGGTTTTTTTGCATTTTTTTTTTTTTTTTTAGGGAATTGGGGTTAAGTGACTTGCCCAGGGTCACACAGCTAGTGTCAAGTGTTTGGTCTGAGGCTGGATTTGAACTCAGGTCCTCCTGACTTCAGGGCCGGTGCTCTATCCATTGCGCCACCTACCTGCCCTCGGAGTAAGACATTCTAATATTCACTACATGAAACTGTGAAGAGAATAAATAACTAGAAAATCAGACAAGGAGCAGTGAAAAAGTAGTTAAACTAGAGGAAAGGCGGTGATAAAAATTCAGAGGAAGAAAATATTTAGGTCAATGTATGAAATGCTATATGACATCAGAGGAGTAGGACTTTTAAAAGGCACCAAATTGGATATGGTGATTTGGAGGTCAGCAGGAGCTGAAGTTCAATGTTGGAGAGTCTGATCAGTCTGTCAAAAAGCATTTATTAAACACTTAAGATGTGCCAGTTCCTGTGCTAAGCTCTAAGGATACAAAGAATGGCAAAATCATGGTTCCTGCTCTCAAGGAGTTCACATTTGAATTAGGAAGAAGACAGGCTAATTGTAACAGTAGCTACCATTTATGCAGAACTTCAAGATTTGCAAAGCTTTACAAATATAATTTCATTTTATCCTCAAAAGAGCCCAGAAAGTCATGTATGTATGTATAAGATGCATACTGTGTAAACGGAAGGTTATCTTAAAAGAAAGGCAGTAAGGGGGTGCTGAGGGCAGGGACACAATGATGACTAGTAAAGGCCTCTTATAAAAATGTGGGATTTGAGCTGAGTCTCAAAGAAGGCAGAGGTGGAAGGTGCATTTCAGGCATATAAGACAGCCAGTCAAAGAGCACAGAGGTCAGAAGATGGCATGTCACATCTGAGGAAAAGCAAGAAGGCCAGTGTTGCCAGATTGTAGAGGACACAGAGGGGAATAAAAGGGACAAAGCTGTGAAAGATTTTAAATACCAGAGGATTTTTGTATTTGATTCTGAAGGTAACAGGGAGCCTTTCAAGGTTACTGAATAGAGGGGAGATCTGTGTTTTAGGAAGATTGTTTTGGCAAATGAGTGGTAAATGGATTGGAGTGGAGAAAGACTTAACGCAGCGAGAGCAACCCCAAAGGCTAACGGCAATAGTGCAGGCACAAGATGATGAATGCTTGCACCAGGCTGGTTGCTATCTGAGGAGACATATTTGAACAAGGTTATTAAAGTGGAAATGACAAATTTGGCAACAAAGTGAACATGGGGGGTGACTGTGAGGGAGAAGGTAAGGATGACACCCAGGATGTGAGCCTGGGTGACTTTGGAGGATGGTGATAACCTCAACAGTAATAAGGAAGTTAGAAAGAGGAAAGGATTTTGGGAGAGACATAAGTTCAGTTTTGGAAACGTTAAGTTTAAAAATGTCTACTGGACATCCAGTCTGAGATGGTAATATAGGCAGCTGGAAATATGAAACTATAGGTCAGGAGGGAAATTGGGGCTAGATAATAGATCTGCACAGAGATAACTGCAAGCATGCAAGCTGAGATCACCAAGGGAAACAGTATAGAAGGAGAAGAGAAGGTGGCCCAGGAAAGAGCCTTCTGAGACCACTATGGTTAATGTGTTAATATTGGATAAAGATCCAGCAAAGGATACTGAGAAGAAACGGAACAAGTAGAAGAAAAAGCAGGACAGAAGAGTAACAAAAACTTAGAGAAAGGAGAGTTATCAAGGACATGTGGGTGATCATCATTATCAATGGTTATAGAGTAGTCAAGAAGGATGACGATTGATAAAAAGCCACTAACTTTGGCATTCAAGAGTTCAATGGATGGGGGAGGAAAGTGGGAGAGCAAGAAAATAAATTTTGTTAATTAAAAAACAAAGTTACATTTAAAAAAAGATACCATTGGTAACTTTGGAGAGAGCAGTTTCAGTTGAATAAGGTCAGAAGCTAGACTGCAGAGGAATTAGAAAAGAGGGGAGGAGAGGAAACAGAGGTACCTGGTATAGAAATCAGATGGTAGCAATTCCCCAAGGTTGAGGAAACAGTAGAAGGTCAGGAGTGTGAGGAAGTTTAGGATGGTGGCTGAGAATCATTAAAATGGTAGGGTCTAGGGTTATGGTTGGATATGGAAGCAAATGAAGTCTTCATTTAGTATTCAACTGTGAAAACCTCAAAAAAAAAAAAAAACAACCAAAAAAACCAAGGCTGAATATGTTCTCCACAGAGATCTCGAAAATTCAAGACTGTTTTCCTTTGGAAAAAAGAATTTGTCATATAGTTGTTAATTTACATTGAGAAATCCAAAAATTAATTTCCAGATTTTTAGAATCAGAAGTAATCTAACTGAAAATTTGCCTTTCTTAAACTAACATTTTTTCTAATTAATTGACTTACACTTGAAAATTGTTTAAAAGACAAAAGCAAACTATATTGATGATGTAATGAAAGAGTGAAACAAAAATATTTTATTTTAAAATCTTATTTCCTGTCTTTAATATTTAGGATTTTAAAACAAAAGTAGTGGATAACACAGTACACCAATACACACATTTTGGGGATTTAGGGAGGTGAGATTATTACCTGATGTGTGCTATAGATTTGGGATTGTGGTCTTCCACAAAAATAAAAGAAAATAATCCAAGGTTCCTTTCCACAGTTGTCAGCCAGGATGTCAGTTGTATTGAACCATCTGGAATCTGGTAGGAGGAGTCCCATGTCCTTGTCAACAGTGTAGAGTTCTGGACTGAACTGGACTTTCTTGGATTATATATAGCATTACTTTTAGTGGCCTAAAATAAAAAAAAAAAAGCAAAAAACTTTAGTTAAAATTCACCATAATAGCTTCTACAGCAATATATCTACAGCAGAGGTTCTTAACCCTTTAATATTATGGACCTCTTTGGCAGTCTGGTGAAGCTAAGGGACCCTTTTCTCAGAATGTTGTTAAATACATAAAATAATGATTACAATGGAAACCAATTCTATGTAAATGAAGTTATCAAATATATTAAAAAAAACTCAACAAGTTCACAGATATCAGGTTAAGAACTCTTGATCTAAGGGAACTGGAACACTTCAGAGTAATTTATAATTTTACCACTATTTGTTAGAGATCATATAATTTTTCTGTTTAAAATAATTATGTATTTCTTCTTATGAACTACAATTTCACTGAGAAAATTTCAAAGCATTAGATAGAAGGTTATAATATACCACACAAAGATATTAGAAGAAAAAAGATCCATGGTACTTGATAACTTTTGAGGACATACAATGAGTAGAATAACCATATTTTTAAATGCCCACCTGAAAGCCAATAACTAGAGTGTTAAAAAAGGATACTATAAAACCAGGTTATAATGTCCAATCATAGTTCAACTAAGATATATGTGACTAGCTATGTAGAATATTTTTTTCTAATTACCCCAAAGTCACTCTCTAAGTCATGTTTTCAAGGTGTCACCATTTTAACCTTACTCAATATAAGTAGCTGGCTTGCAAACAGGCTACCAAAAAGTCTGTAATTTTATCTCTGCATTCTTTTGAGAACTGTTATGAGTGTGTGTATATACATAAAGTCACTGGCACTCAAGCTGAAAAGCTCCCTAAAACACAGCTGAAGTATCAGTAATCAAAATACAAATATAAGAAAACATGAAATACAGCACTGAATAATACACAAATAATTTTTACTGTCTCAAAAGCATCATGCAACAGCAAAATCCACAGACATGGCAATATTTTAAAATCAATCTCCATTTTTCAAATTGCCAACATTTCAATATAGGACTGAATAAAAACAATTTGGAATTTACAGGAACAGAAACAGTATTGTTTTGAACTTTTTTTTGTCTCTTAATGACAAATTTAATGATAACTTCCTCACACAAAACATACAAGCTTTGTTTTATATTACATGCCTACTATAAAAGGGGCAAATAGCAGAATTTTGTGGCATTAAAGTCGAATTAGTTGATACAAATACAGAGTTGAAGGATTTAGTCAGTAGTTATTAAAACAATTGCTACTGAGAGGCAGAACATGGTGAACAGAAAGCCTGCCTTGGGGGCAAGAAGCTCTGGGTTCAAGTAACACTCTTCTCATATACTAGCAGTAAAACCTATAGTAACTTTCTCAGATAAGTTGTAGAGGTAATCTTCTTCCCAGAAATTCTCTATATTGAGCAGCAAAGTCCAATTTTAAAAGTTGCCACAAATTAAATTTTTCTTTTCTAAAAAAAAAAAACTTACACTGTTAGAAAACTGTCATCTGTTTTTAGCTATCTTAATTTATTAATAGGGGAAAAACATTCTTTATTCTGTTGTTTTGCTTAATATAAGTAAAGTTCTTCTATTGCTTTTTAAGACTTTTAAGTTGTAAGCTTTTGTTTTTGTGTTTTTGTGATATCAAGTACATTTATGAAAGTCTATGTGGTGGGTGGACATAAGATATAAAACAACGTGGTATGATTTAAAGAACATTAAATAGAATATGGAAACCTGGGTTCTAGTGGTGGAGCCTGCATTTGAACTTGAGGTTTTCATACTCTGTTTAGTCTTCTTTCCATCTTTAGATATAACTGACACATAAGTTTTTATAAATGTGAGTAGGTAATGTATGCAAATAGAACAGGTACAATATGACCTACTTGAATAAGTTACTGTCTCTGAAAAAAGAAAGGCAAATGAATAAAAGTAAAGACATTGTCAGAGCAGCTAGGTGGCGCAGTGGATAGAATACCGGCCCTGGAGTCTGGAGGGCCTGAGCTCAAATGTGATCTCAGACACATGATACTCACTAGCTGTGTGACCCTGGGCAAGTTACTTAACCCTGAATGCCTCTCAAGAAAAAAAAAAAGGCACTGTCCTTGATTATCACTATTTCTTAGTCAAATTTGAGATGGATGTATAATAGTTGCACAAAGCAATCCAAAAGAACACTGAATATGCCCCAGCAAAAGTAAACTCCACAATCAGAGAGACAGGGCACATTCAAGAGTAACACTGGCATACACACTTCATTTTAAAACACTGCAGAGCAGGCAACCCTTATAAAATATGGTAAAGTATCACAGAAGAAAAAGCCTTCAGGGAGCATGAGACCCAACTAAGCCACAACATCCAAGATCATTTATAGATGAAACTGGGAGAGCAAAGAGAAATAAAGTACTTCACAGCTAGAATTTTTGGAGTTGTTATCTTCATCAAAGACAGCATAATCACACTTGTACTTTAACAGTAGTTTTCTTCATGTCTTGAATGAGGGGGTTGGACTAGACGGCTTCAAAGATTTCTTCCACCTCCCAAATCTAAATGGATCCTAAGTGGAAATAGCACTTAAATTTAGTAGTAACTCTTATCAACACAATGACCAACCACAATTCCAAAAGACTCATAATAGAACATGATATCCATCTCTAGAAAGAGAAATGATGGACTGAGAGTGTAGACTAAAGCACATTTTCTTCTATTTTTTTCCTGCCTTTTTTTGGAGGAGGGGGGGAAACATAGGCAATGAGGAAATATGTTTTGCATGTCCATACATATTTGTAATGGGTTTCATTTTTCTTGCCTTCTCAATGGATAAGGGAGAGAATTTAGAACTGAAAAAAAAATTGAATTAAAAAAAGGAAATAATAGTTAAGACATGTAGAATTCAAACCTGACTGAAGTACATACACAAAAATCTGTGTTGGATAAAAAACAATTTTGGAAGTACTCAGGAAATGATTTTCAAGATGTCTAAAAAGGGGAAAAACTATAAAAGAATTGAAAAATTCAAAGATGGTATTATCAAAATAAGATAATTAAGAAAACATGCAGCTACAGCCTCACATGTAATTATGAAGAGTATACTTGTGGAAAATATGAAGGATGACAGAATTCTGGCAACTGACTTTTTATACATATTCACAGGTCCACTAAATTGAGAATTATAGATATAAAGTTTCTTCTATGTTTACTGCTTATTGATGACAAAAGCATTTGGATTGATCCAGCAAAATAAAAAACCTAAAACAAGTTATTTTCTCAATATTTTTATGACCATACAGATAAATTAGTTATATGGTAGGTACTATGATAATATTAAATGAAGTATGAAAAAAAAACCCAGTATACTTGTCAATTGTATTCTCATCACTGTACAGGAAGATAAAAGAATCTCAGAGTTGGGAGGCACCTCAGTTACAATCTAGTTCAATTTGTATCAGAAGACTCTACCTCTAGCACATAGTCGTTCACCTGCCACTGGGGAAAGGGATGGCCATTTTCTTCTAATTCTTCTCTTTTCTGGGCTAAATATATCCATTTCCTTTAATTACTATTCAAATGTTTTCATGGTTCTTTATCATACTGGTTGCCTTCCTGTGGATGCTTTCCAGATTACTAATGTCCTTTCTATAATGTGGTGTCAAGAACTGAACACAATACTGCAGGTCAGGTAAGGATAAACAACAGTACAATGATTTTAATCTTATTCCTGCAAGCTACATCACTTTTTGTGTGTGTGCATGCGTGAGGGAATGGGGTTAGGTGACTTGACCGGGGTCACACAACTAGTTTAAGTGTCAAGTATCTGAGGCCAAATTTGAACTCGGGTCTTCTTGAATCCTGGGCAGTGCTCTATCCACTGCACCATCTAGCTGAAGCTAGGTCACTCTTAATACAGTTTAAGACTATGTTAGCTTTTTTTTCTTTCTGCCACATCAGAATGCTGATTCATATTAAGTGTGTAGTCAACCAAAACCCTGAGATCCTTAAGATAAATTGTTATTTAATCACGCTTCCACATCTTATACTTCTTAGGCAAATTTCTTGAACCAAATATAACACTTTAAATTTCAAAGTTCTAGTCTGTCAAGATCTTTTTCTGAAGCTTAACTCTGCCATTAAGTGTACTGGCTATCTCTACCAGATCTGTGTCAGCTGCAAATCGATAAGGATGCCATCTATGCCTTTATCCAAGTTAATAGTATAAATGTTAAACAGCACTAGGTCAAGTGTATGAATATGCCACTGGGATTCTTTTAAGCTCACATTGAACCTTTAATGATTATTTGATAATGACCATTGCTGAATGTAACTGACCATCATTTAGCTGACATTGACCTACCATTCCATGGGGACTTCATGAAATGCTTTATCAAATGCATTGCTAAAATTTAGGTAAACTATATGCACAGAATTCTTCTGATTTATCAACCGAGTAACTGGTTCCAAAGTGGAAATGAAGTTAGTCTGGTATGACTTGTTCTTGATTAAACTTTTCTTTGGGGGGTATTTTGTCATTTCCTTTTCAAGAGGCTCAATAACCACCTTCTAATAACCACCTGCTGATTATGTTCTCATTATCTTAGAAAGTAAAAAAACAGAAAACATTTATTATTCTTCAATATGGCAGAACCTCTTCCATCATCTGCCATCTTTGCTAAGCTACTCTCAGTGATTTTTGAATCACATCTTTCAGTTCTTTCAGTCCTAGATAGGATGTAATTCATCTGGGCAAGTGATTCAGAAAGGTCAGCTGGGTGCTCTTCTATTCTCTTCTCTCTTACTTTGGGTATTAGGGTATCAGTTCCCTAATTGGTTACTTCTGTTCTTCTTTTTCCAGTCTTGCTTGGTAGAGAAAACAGAAGCAAAGAATTAAAAAGCTCTGCCTTCTTTCAGTCATTATTATTGTTCCATCTATTCTAAACAGTAATCCTACTCTTTCCCCTACCATAGTTAAAAAACAAACAAATAAAAAACCAAAACACTCCCCTTAGCTTTCCTCATCAGCCTCTGTTCAT